CATAGTTCAAAGTTTATTAGCTCCGCTTTCGACTTTGTCAAGTGGACCTTATCGTATGAGTGATTGTTCATGGTCATCAGCCGCGTCAACTTTTTACTTTTTCAACTTCTTCATGAAAACTAAAAACCTCATTGCTTTGATACTTAGTGTATATGTACTTTGGGTAGACCTCACTTGGATTTGTTTATTTCATGATTTCATCTTTAATTTTCTAAGTTTGCTTATTATTTTTGTCATTTTTGGTAAAAAGTGATATTTTTGACTTAAAAACCGCAAGTTGATTGGCACTACAGGTGGACCTCTCAGCTTTGCTCATTTTATGATGGTATCTTCAATTGAAATGTGCATTGCTATAAAGCGGAGCTATCTCTGTTCAAGAGGCTCAAATTTTGTTGATATATGATGTGTTCTAAGTTCAGTTTCATCACAATAAATGTATCTGATTCTTAACATTTTGTTACAGAGAAAGATGCAGAGCCAGATATTGTTGATGTCAGTCACGGAGAAGAATCAGATGATGGAAGTCCTGAGCATCATGGAGCTGACTATGCTGGACATGGTATAAGTCATTTTGAAAATGAAGGTTATGATAGTACTCAAGTGAGTCAGGCACCATCATTAATAGGTGGAGATGAAGATTTAGGGAGTATACCTGCATTGGCTTATGGTGAATCAGCTTCTTTGGCTCATGGATCTCCAGTAAGTTAAAATAACTCACTGGTTTAGATATAACTAAACCAGCCTTGAGTTATTGCATGTAATACTTACATCCATCATCTTCAATTAACCATATTCTATTGCTGCTTACTCTTTGGGCTGACATATCTTACCTGCAGTTCTGTGACTATTTATTACATTTTTTTCTCAAAGTCATATCTGATTATCATGTCAGTGTTTTGGTTGGTGATCGTTTCAACCGTAAAAAACGAATTTAGCTTATCCATGATGCTTGAACAAATATGTCCTTTTGCATACTATGGTGACTGCATCTGTTCAATTAATAAATAAAACTGATGCATCTAAGCGACCAAATCTAAGAAAGACTTGTCTTACTGGTGATAAAAGATTAATGTTTCAAGCTATACACTGCTAGATATTTCTTTGTAATAGAAATTCATACTTTAAATAATTCATTAGTTCCTTCTATTTACTTAACATAAACAACAATTTCTTTTTTCAAATGCAGGTGTAAATTTTAGTCATAAAAGCATAGCAAAACAAGCACACATGAACAGGTTTTGTCATTAATATAATAATTTGTTTATTCATTTTTTTAACTCGGCTGTCATCAGAGATGACTGAGCAGAGCTCATGGGTTGACCAACCTGTCGTACGTCGTTCATCAATTATTTTCATTCAAACGACTTCTTCTCCAAAACCTAACCTTGATTGCCTTGCTATTCATACCACACTTTAATACCTGGGGTGGTCTTCTGTCAGATTTGTTCATTTCATGACATCACATGCAAACTTCTATTTTTTGGGAATATTTTTGTCATTAATTAATCACTTGTCAGATTGCTTTGCAATTTGAATGTTGTTGACATGGATTACATCATATGCAAGTGTCTATTTTTAGTGCACTTTTTTTTGCACATTTTCGACTTCTTCTTAAAAACCGCTTGCCACATTGCTTTGAATTATAATGTAGACTGGTCCTCTCTGAAGTTTGGAGAAGATGTCTCCTTTTTTGTGGAAGTTATGATTTTTGTTTTGTTATTATTTTTTGGGATTTTGTTACTTTCCCATACGTTATATATGTATAATGCATAGACTTCAGTAGACAATTGTATCAGTTGGAAACTAGGCTTTCTCAGTACACATTGTCTTGGAAAATGAACTGGTTGGGCCAATGTTTTCCAGAAATGCTCAAGTTCAGGTCAAGATCATTTCAAGTTAGTGATACTAAACAGTGAGGGTGGGAGAGACTAAAACACCTCCCCAAAATTTTCAAGGTCGGGTCAGGTTCATCTCAAGGTCACATGTTGATTGCATGTGTATTGGGGGTTCAGGAGTCGCCTCTCCGTCAAGATCTTTCAAGGAAAGGTTATCCCAAGATCACATATCCATGTATTACATACACAAATATATTTCCTCTCACTGGATATGCCTTTACAGTGACCATTGCCACAATTACTAAACTGTCATAGGTTTCACTTCTTCTATTCCCCTAGTAACTGCCACTGCCACTCTCACTGTCATACTCCCACTGTTCTCTGCACTTGTCAATTACAGCGAAGCTCTACTGACCAC